TGTCTTTTATAAGCAAATGAATCTCAAATACTTTGGCTCAGAGAGACAGCTGAAGCTTTTTTGGCTTTGCTGACTTTCACAGAGCTGACTTGAGAGTTTCATAACACTGAACTTCAGCTTATCCCTGACATGGAGGAAAAAAGCTTCATAGAAGAATGCAAGAGTGGAGAGAGCAGGGCCAAAGCCTGGTTATTTCTCTGCACATTTAGTAGTCATGTCTGGTAAGTTCTCCTTTAACATCTTCCTTGGATACTTTGGGAACCAGGTGAAACTAAGAATGAACAGGTTATGTAAGTAAACCCAAAGCCTCTTTTTTATACCAGCTGTATTTTTTTTTCCTCTAGCATATGAGTTCAGTTTCACTTAAAGCAGAGCTAGATGGTGTGTGTGTATAACAGAGGCTAAAATTGTTTCTACAATGGAAAAGTTACCACATGATTGAACAAATACAAGTAACTTTTACATTGCAATACGTAAGCGGATCTCAGTCATGGTCCTATAAATCTGAAATATGTAGGAGTAAATTTTGTTTTGTTAGGAATTTAATAATTCTGATTTCCCAAAATATTGATTAATTTATATGGATTTGTAAAAGGGAAATCATCACTTTATCTGCTACTTTGGAATCTTGTTTATGCCTTAGATCAAAGCATAGCTACTCTTTGAAAATGAAACATTCTCTTTACACTCTCTGGAATGAGATCCTTTCCTGTGGTGTATATACATATATATACACACACATGTATTCATTTATTTCAGGTACTCTCTGCTTTCTGTCGATTGCCCTCAGATGTGTGTTCACCTTGATACAACTGAGTCAACCTATTTGAAATCCGACCTTAAGTTTCAGAACTTGAGAAGTACCAGTTTCTTTAAAATTATTTATTTAATTATGAAAGTAACACAAACAGAACAACATGTGGGGAAAAATCATACGTAATGCCAATATCTTAACACAATGGCTATAATCTTTTTCGAATATTCCCTTTTGATCTTTTTATATGCATATTTTAATATATTTGTCATCATAATTTATGAATAAATTTGCAACTTGCTTTAAAAAAACCTGAGCAAAACAGTACTGATTCTTTTAAAACTCATCTGAGAGGGACCTAGTTTCTAGAAGAGAACACACATACACACACACACAATACTTTCTGACGCTGGTGTAGGATTACAATAGTCCCCTCTTATCTGCGGGGGATACATTCCAAGACCCCCAAAGGAGCCTGAAAACAAATAGTGCCGAACCCTATATATACTATGCTTTTTCCTATACATACATACCTATGATAAAGTTTAAAGTATAAATTAGGCACAGTAAGAGATTAACAACAATAACTAAAAATAGAACAATTGTAAAAATATACTATAATAAAAGTTATGTGAATGTGGTCTCTCTCTCTTAAAATATCTTATTGTACTGGGGCTGGCCCCGTGGCCGAGTGGTTAAGTTCGCGCGCTCCGCTGCAGGTGGCCCAGTGTTTCGTTGGTTCGAATCCTGGGCGCGGACATGGCACTGCTCATCAGACCACGCTGAGGCAGCGTCCCACATGCCTCAACTAGAAGGACCCACAACAAAGAATATACAACTATGTACCGGGGGGCTTTGGGGAGAAAAATGGAAAAAATAAAATCTTTAAAAAAATATATATATATCTTATTGTACTGTACACATTCTTCTTGCGATGATGTGGGATGACACAACGCCTATGTGATGAGATGAAGTAGGGTGAATGACATAGGCATTGTAACACAGCATTTGGCTACTACTGACCTTCTGACCACACGTCAGGAGGATCATCCAGCTATAATGATGCTGATGGTTGGAGATCCAACAAAGGGATGATTCACGTCCTGGAATGGGATGCCTCGGGATTTCATTACGCTACTCAGAACAGAACTCAATTTAAAACTTAGGAATTGTTTATTTCTGAAATTTTCCGTGTAATATTTTCGGACCAAGATTGACTGCAGGTAACTGAAACCATGGAAAGCAAAATTGTGGATAAGGGGGACTACCGTATAATAAAATAACTGATAACATCGATGGCTTTGGAATCACACTGTATCTGGACATGTGCAATAAACCCTAATTTGAATAATGATGTTTTTACTCTCCTGAAGAACAAAATGAGTTTTGCAAAACAGGAGGGCAATAAACAGGAGGGGCACATATAAGCCTGCTTCACAGGCTGTGAAGTTGAGCCCGCTTAAGTTACACTTGTCAACTAGGTTATGGCAGTTTTCATATGATTGATGTCACTGGGGTTAATGATTTGGCAGCAACCTAGAAATACTTACTTTTCAAGACGGGTAAGTATAACTCACTATTTCATTTAGAGGTCAATATTTATTTCCCCTGATCTTTTCATGGAAAATAAATAACTTTGACAGCCAGAAAGCAAAGTGGGTTTCTTTTCCTTTGTCTTAGAGCGGCTCAGCATTAGAAACTGTCAACTTGGCACCTTTTATAAGGACACGTGGAGAAGGCAGGAAGTTTACTACATTTACTCTGAACTGGGCACTCTTTACTGCCAGCTTGACTGGGTGAACTCGTGACAGGTGGCCTTTAACATGTTTGTCTTTATTTGGTGAAGCAAGTTCAACGACAATGGCTTCTTTTGTCGTATGGTAGGTAGTTAGACACGCAGAGCTTCTGGAAACAGTGTAGACTGGAATGTACTTTTAATTGTGCCAACGAACAGGACTTTTTGCTTGATATTTAACCTAAGGCCGACATTTTTCCCCCTCCTATTTAAGGGCCACCTCTCCAGTTCCCAGGCACCAGTAAGGATGTGTTGAGGGAATGACAACTTACCTTCATATTTGAATAAAACACCATCTGCAAGTAAATTGGAAGCAAGAATATATACGTATTAGAGAAACTTTTTGTACTTAATCACAACATGGTTCTTCTGAATACTATGGATAATAGAATTGACTCAGATTGCTTTTAAGCCTGAATTTAAACAACACTGTCATTTTGGATTTTAGCCCCTCCTCCTTCATACGTCTCTTCTACTGGAGGGGTGGTGGTGGGGTGTGGAGACGGCGGCAGAACGTCTTCAGAAATTGAAGTAGGAGGAAGCTGCTGTCATATAGGCTGCTGTCACAGATTCCTCAGAAAGGAAACCTAATCAAAAGGGCAAGATCGCCATTTTATTTTTAACACACAGCCTGGCACATGGTTGGGGCTCAGTATCGCTGAATCGAGCCTCAGGTGCCCAACAACGTGCCCATGGGCCGCCTGGAAGTCTGAGACCCTGTCACTGAGCCCTAGGCACCAATAGTCTATAATGGAAGACAAGACTTCCAGAGAGCAAGATGAATAGATTGAATAGAATAGATTGAATAGAAGAATAGGTTGAATAGAACCATAAACGTTAACCTCGGCCGTCAGCGCCCGTTAATTCCAGGAACCCTTAATTGCAAGAAACCTTCACGACCTGAGCCCTCCTCCCTCTCGCCCAAAGGCCGGGTCAACCCCGGAAAGCTGGCGATGGCCCAGCGCTCCGCGCCGGGGAAGCGACCACGGAAGCGTAGACGGGCGCCGTTCCCCTGTGGCGCGGCCGGCCGGCAGCGGCAGGACGCTTCCGGGGAGCGCGGGCGGCGGAGCCCGCAACGGCGCTAGGCCGGAGCGCGGCCGGGGGAGGGGCGGCGGCGGGGCCGGGCGCGTGCGCGCGCACCTCACACTCGCCGCCCGGGGACGCCCACTCGCGAGTCGGGGCGGTAGGCCGGCCCGCACAGTCCGCCCCTCGGCCCTCGGGCCCGCGCACGCGTCTGCCCAACGGGCTTCGGTTCCCGGCTGGTCGGCGCTCTGCGGGACGAGGGAGGCAGGGCCGAGGCCCGGGCCGCAGCCCCGCACCGCGTGGACGCGCTGCCTCTCCTGCCGCCGCCGCCGCCGCCGGCAGATCGAGCAGCTGCGAGCGCCCGGAGGCATCGCGGAGGAGGCCCGAGGGCGGCCGGCGGCCGGGCGGAGGGAGACGGAGCCGACCTCCGCGCGCCCGGGGCCGCCGCCGCCTCCCTAGGGCTGGGCGAGGAATGAGCAGGCGCCCCTCCCGGGCTCTCGGACCGAGGGGCCGTGGCTTGGCTTCTTCCCACGCAGCGGGGCTCGCGCGCCGGCGACCTCGCTGAGGGAGCAAGCGCCGGAGCTGACTTAACCGGCCGCCGGGAGAAGGAGGAGGAGGAGGAGGGGAGGAGCCGGGCGGGGCGGCCGCCGCGCTCCCCTCCCCTCGCCCGCGCACGCCGGGGCCGCTCAGTGGCCGTCCGCGGAGGAAGTTCCGCTCCTCGCAGAGACGGGCGGTAGCAACAGCAGCGGCGGCGGCGGCGGCGGCCGGCAGGGCAGGTAGCGCGGCGGCGAATGCCCTTCGCGCCGGCCGTCGAGGGGCAGCGTCGGAGCTCTCCCGGGGGCCCGGGGCTTGCGGGCGGCGTCGGGAGGCGCGGGCGTCCGAGCCCTGCCGCTCCTTCACCCGGCGCTGCTGCCTCGGCTTCAGCGAGGTGGGACCTTCCTCCCTCCCCGGGGGCGGACTTCCGAGCAGACCCTTCTTTTTCCACCGCCGAGGTGAAGGGATCCTGGCGTCGAAGCGTCATAGGGGGTTCAGCGAGCCTTCTACAACTCCTCGGATCTCATCAGGCCCCCTTTTGGGGCGGGAGACCACAGCGGAGCATCTGGCTGTGTACAGGAGTGGGAGAGCCCACCTTGCATCGTCTCCGCAGTGCTGCTTGCCTCATCTACCCTTAGGAATGGAGAGGAGGCTTGGAATAACCCGATGAGGTACCGAAAGCCAAATGGCCAAGAAAATATAACAGAACATACACTAGCCATCGTTTGGGGGCCGCGCACGTTTCTGAATGTAATTGGGCGAGCGTGAAAGAGGTGCCCTATTAAAAAGCACAACAGTCCGTTAAGGGGAGAAAAATTGAGTTTCCCCATTTTTGCCAAGATTTTGAAGACTGTTCAATGCATTGTACATTTGATGTAAGATGAGAACTTTATAAAATATTCTGTCCAAGAGCGTAAACGATGACTACCCCAGCCCTGCTGCCCCTATCCGGACGAAGGATACCTCCTCTGAACCTGGGGCCGCCTTCCTTCCCCCATCACAGGGCGACTTTGAGACTTTCTGAGAAGTTTATCCTCCTCCTTATTCTAAGTGCCTTCATCACCCTGTGTTTTGGGGCATTCTTCTTCCTTCCAGACTCTTCAAAACACAAACGCTTTGATCTGGGTTTGGAAGATGTGTTAATTCCTCATGTAGATGCCAACAGAGGGGCTAAGAACCCTGGAGTCTTCCTGATCCATGGACCCGATGAACATAGACACAGGTTTGTTTATTTCAGAAGTTCTGACATTAACATTTGGCAGAGCAAGGTATGGCTTATTGCCTCAAATCGGTCATTTCTTTTTGCGTTGTACTTTTGAATGTAATTCTCCCTGAGTTGTAAGAGTTGTATTGTTATTTCAGAACTGGATGAATAGAACTATAAGCTGAAAGGACGCCTAGAGCCCCATCTAAAGACGACTCCTTCGTTTTATATAGGAGAAAAATTTGTGCTCAGAGATGTTGTGTCTAATGTGAACAACTGGGAATGGAGGTTATGAAAACTTAATCTAAAGCGATAGCAGCATATGCTGCGCCTTCATTTGTGAAGAATGTGTTGCATTGAGTTATTGTGTCACCCTGTGAAATAGATCCATGGTATCCTGATATCTATGGGTTTGTTCCCTACCAAAGGGCTGTCATTCTCTGGCTTGTAGTTGAAGCTTAGTAGTGAATCTTAGCTTTTTAGGAAGACAAAATGAGCAGAATATACCTGTCGTTTCTTAACATGCAAAAATATCCTGATTTTTGTTATTTTCAGCGGGTGTGTTTTGGTGCTCTGTGTGGAATTAGTTAACGATATCATTGAATCCTAAATCATTTCACTTTGTGAGTCTTGTAGACAAGATTTGATTATGTTTTTAATTTAATATTGCTCTGATTTTTTTTTTTAATGTGAGAGATAGAGGGTGTCAAGTAACTATTAGAATCTGTTCGATTAAAGAGGTCACGTTCTTTCAAATCAAATCTGAAGTGAGCTCTTGGGAGAGTATAGCAAATTAGGATAAAACGGGAGCTCTAGTTACATTTCCTTTGAATCATTTATGTAATTTGTATCAGAAGAGTTTGAGAAAGTAGTTTACTTTTTTCAAACCTACATTTTTTTTTACCTGTGAAATCTTTTCCCTTTCTTCTCTATTTCTTAAAATAATTTTTGAGTATATGAAAAAAAATCGTTTACTCGAGTTCTGTTTTCAGCTGACTTTAGTTTTAACTTTTTATCAAGTACCACGTTTTTGAAAAAGCTTGAGTTCAAATGTGAGTCTAAGTTAAATACTTGGGAGAATGCACTGTTGTAATGAGAGCTGGTTTTTCCTTTTTCTCAATCTGCTTAATTCATTATTTGCTTGTTGGTTCTTTGACTTTTGGCTGAACTTTATCGAGTTGTTAGTTCTAAAATTGTCTCATACCATTCTTCTGTCACTAAATTAATATGGAATTTTTGCCATCATTTTCAACTTCTGTAGTCTTTTGCATTTGTTTCTTTTATTTTGCCCTTTGCTCTTTGTGACTGAGAAAAATCTGATGTGATGTGTGAAATATGTTGCTGAAAAATTAACACTGAAAGTACTGTTTCCTTGAAAATCTGATTTCCCATGGTATTTATATAAGCTATATAATATTTGAAAAAAAAGATGTAAGATTGGCTTTAGAACTCTTTGATAGTCACACATTAACATTTTTTAACTCTTTTATTACAGTCATCTGTCATATAGTAAACAGTTTTTTAAAATATTTTAAGTGTGATCTAAAGGTTAAAAATATGTGACAACATTTTAGTTTAAAAACATTTACGGGGGCCAGGTTGGTGGTGTAGTGGTTAAGTTCCCATGCTCCGCTTCCGTGGCCCGGGTTTCTGGTTCAGATCCCGGGTGCGGACCTAGCACTGCTTATCAAGCCATGCTGTGGTGGTGTCCCACTTAAAATAGAGGAAGATTGGTACAGGTGTTAGCTCAGCACAGTCTTCCTCAAGCAAAAATAGAGGAAGATTGGCAACAGTTGTTAGCTCAAGGCCAGTCTTCCTCACACACAAAAAAGAAATTTACAGAAAAATTCTCAGTTAACTGGAGGTAAAATTTAAATTTTGAGTGGAAATAATAGCTATGTGCATTTTATTCACATTTTTAAAAGCCTGCTTAAATCTCTTAAACAAGGATTCTTAAATTTATATAGCCTGTGAAGACATGTGCTTGTGTGTTGCTATCCAAAACTATTGGGTTCCTGAGTTTGGAGTGAGAGATGAATTATTCTGATAGCAAGGGTTGGTGAGTGAGCCAAATCCTGAGTTTTGGATAGGAAGAGTCTGGATAACAAGTGGTATATATGAGAATTTATTCGAATATGTTTGGTTCCTGAGTTTTGAAAAGCAAGACTCTAAATAGTGAGAGCTCAGGTAATGAGGGATCCGTGTATTATCTCTGTGCATATTTCTGTGGTTATATCAGTGTATTTTTATATTTGTTTAGTATGTTATTGATTGTCGCTTACCATATCTGAAAAGACAGTCTGTAGTGATAAGAATTCTTCTAATTTGAGCAATGAAATACACTTCAAATTAGAGATTGTTCAAATGATGTTTAAAATGTGAGATGTAAAACATCAAACTAATGTATAAGCACTAACTTATTTAAAAGTAATTCAGAGAGATAGCTTTTTTTTTTCTTTTTTTCTGTGAGGAAGATTGGCAGTGAGCTAACGTGTGTTGCCAGCCTTCCTCTATTTTATATGGAATGCTGCCACAGCGTGGCTTGACGGGCAGTGCTAGGTCTGCACCTGAGATCTGGGCCTGCAGACACCAGGCCACCAAGCTGGAGCACGTGAACTTAAGCACTACGCCGCCAGGCGAGCCTAAGAAAGATAGCATTTTAACAGAATTAGTTGGTACTAAGATCATACCTGTTTTGGGTGTGGTCAAAAAATCTTTCTTAATTTGGAAAATACAAATTGATAATTTATATTAATTTTGCGTGTGTGGAGAAAGGTGCAGGATAGAGGGATGAGCAGCCTGACTTTAATGGATAAATAATGAAAAAGAAATCATGGCCATTATTTCTTATTCACAGTATTTACGAGATACTTGTTGAATAATGGCTTTTCTTTATTAATGAATCAGTATAGTAGTTAGGTGCTTAAGCTCTGGAGTCAGACTGCATGGATTCATACCCTAGTTTGTTATTGATTAGATATGGAATCTTGAGCAAATTTGTAAACTCTATGCCTAAGGTGCTTCCTCTGGATGACAGTGGGGCCTTCTTTACAGATTGTTATATTGAACGGGATAGTCCATGCAAAGTGTTCAACATAGTTCACGGGATAGTACATGTAAAGTGCTCAACATAGTTCCTAGCATTTAGTAAATGCTCAATAAATATTAGCTATTATTATTATTATCAATAATTATAGTTTTAATTGAATATTTTCATTCTGAGCCTACTTACCTTTAAATACCGTGCATGTTTCTGAAAAGTTGCGTATAGGTTAATTAATATTTTAAAAGTGCACGAGAACCTTATTGTCTAAAGGAACATTTTATAACCAAACCTAGTTAGCAACAAATGTATATTGCATATCTACTATGTGTCGGGCCCTGCTTTTATGGAGCTTCTGGTCTGGGGGGGATGATGGGCATGAAACAAATACACTTATTTTCGAGGTGTGGTGAGTGTTATGAAGTTGTGCTCACTGCTATTAGAACACATAATGGTGTGATTTAGCCATCGGGGGTGGGTGCGGTGGGCAGTGGGAATAGGGAAGGCTTTGCTGGGGAAGCAGTGGCTCAGAAACTTAGAACAGATAGGAGATGGATTGCTAAGTGAGGGGGAGATGTAGGAGAAAGTGGGCAAAGCAGAGGACATGACCTGTGTGAGAGCCCTAAGGTAAAAAATCTTGGCATCGTTGAGGGTCTGAGAAATGTTCGGTACGCTTGGAGTAGAGATCAGCGGTGTGGGGCTGGCTGAAGACACTAGAGGAGAGGTCAGATTCAACCTCCTTATTGTTGGGACGGTTTGAATTAGTTGCCAGCATTCACAGATTAGGAGATTGCGCATGAAAGTCTAGATTTCTGATTTCTCTTGAAAAATTTGAGGATATGGCAACCCCCAAGTCTGTATTTCAGATGGCAACACTCAGCTGCGTCTGGGCAGCAGCTACTCCCTCTAGAGGGCCATGTGCTCTTCATTTTATGCACTCAATTAGGTTGCCAGATAAGTAAATCTCTCTAATGAATCAATATTTAACCTGGTTGTTGTTGAGTTTGGAATCCCTAGGCAGGATCCTGGAGAGTTTGTAGTTAAGTATTTTGGTCTTTATCCTAAGTACTATAGGAAGTCATTGCAGAGTTTTCATTAAAGCAAGGGAATGACATAATCATTTTTAAAAAATTTAAATAATCACTTTGGTTGCAGTGTAAACATAGATTGGCGAGGAGCAGGAGGAAATGTAGTGAAAGCAGTTGGGGGTGTCTAGGTCACAGAGGATATTGGCTTAGACCACAGTGGTGACAGTGGAGGAGGAGAGAAATTAGTGGAGAAAGGTGGTTGATTGAAGAGATGTTAAACTGTTCACTTTTGCAGAAGTTGGTGGTTGATTGAATATGGCGGCTAAGGTGGGAGGACGAAGGAGTCCAGGATAACTCCCAGTTTCTGTCTGACATGGCTATGGATTACTAAAAAATATACACTATATGTAATTAATACTTTATATAATTGATATTACATGAATTTAAGATAAAGTATTTTCATGAGAAAACCTATATGTCCCTTCTGTTAAGTGGTTCCTAAATAATCCAGAGTTTTTAAACAATATATACCTTTCAGATGATAGCAACATAAAATGTGTAGTTTGATGTCGATGATAGTCATTTTTAGCATCTGTGATTTTAAAGTAATCAAAACAGGTATTGGTTGTAATAGACATGAATGTTGTTATAAATATACACTGATAGACAAAATAGTGTGTTCATAATTTGTGCACATAATAGACTTATCTAATTAAAATTTTACTTACTAATTTCTTTCATTTCTTTTTCATTTCTTCTGACATTGGGCTTTGTGCTTTTGTTTTGTTTTTAAAATATTTATTCGAACTGCCAATAAGTTGCCTCCTGTAGTTAGCATTTAGTTAGTCTGAATTGAGTACTTGAGGGTCAGGTATATGTTAACTGCTGACGGTTTCCTCACACAGAAAGAACATAGGCTTTGGAATCAGAAGGAGCTGAGATTGTGA